CAACTGGAACAGCAAGGACTTGCGGAGCCCTGAGCCCTTTATGATGGGATCACCAGAAAAACACCCTCTGCAGTGCTTCCCTAAGTGGAAGGGAGGTTTGGGGATCCCAGCATGGGACAGCGAGGCAGAAGTAATCCCATAAACCAGTCCCTGGCAGCAAGGCCATTTGTGACATTAAGCGGCTCATTTAACAAATACATTTTATCCCCAAGGACAAGAGATAATGGGTACAAATTAAAACACAGGAAGTTCCCTCTCCACACGAGGGAGAACTTCTTTGCTGTGAGGGTGCCAGAGCCCCGGCACAGGCTGCCCAGAGAGGTGGTGGAGGCTCCTGCTCTGGAGGTCTCCAAAACCACCACCCTGTGCCCCTGCTCTGGGTGTCCCTGCTGGAGCAGGGGTTGGACTCGATGATCTCTAGAGGTCCCTTCCAACCTTAACCATTCTGAGATTTTTTCTTATCTGTAAACCCTGAATACTAATTGTAACCTAATTCCTGGAGTGGTCATAGAGAATATTTACATGTAATATGCTTTTGTTATGAGAAATGCTATATGCATACTACGACGCTTTCAAATGAAGTTTTCTTATCCTTCAACTTCTTATAATCCCATCATGTCACTGTAGTATCACAAGAGTGCAGAGTGTACACTAAATGAACTAAAAACAGCTATGCCGTTTCCTAGGAGTCTAATAGTGCGTTATAGACATATACTGTGATGTGGCACAGGCCAAGTAACAATTTGAGCATTGTCTTTGTATTTTCTTAAATTCTTATTTCAGAATTAGCAGGGTTTGTGTTATTGAGCTTCAGATGCAGCGTGCTTGCTGTACTCTAGTGAGAATAATATTCATTTTGGCATCAAAAAATGAAGAAGAGCAGCAGCTTCCCTGTTCATTGAAAAGTTCACAGAGTGCTTTGAGCCATGTGTGCATGACACTGTGGCTCGTACAGCTCTCCAGCACTGAATGCACAAAACCTCCCACCAGTCTGTGAACAAGGCAGGAACGTCCATCTCTTTGTATGTGACGGGAAGGTACCTGGCACAGGGCTGTTGTCCTGTGTTGTGCACCTGGATATTGTCAGCTGCATTTGCTGCATGTTCAGCAACTTCCACCAGCCTTATTTTAAACTGTGGGCTCCATTACTTGCTTATTAAAGTGAGTTTCAGTTTATTCAAATTTTAGGTTACAATTGCACAGCATGTTCAGTCCAATCTCAAGCTACATATAAATATTTTCTATGTTAATTTAAGACTTTTGAGTCTGTTTACTATAGAAAAATTGTTATGGACACCCATATACTGCACTAATTTCAGTGCAACAAGCTAATTATAAGTTGATGTCATATGGCTAAAAAAACACATGTTTATTCCTTCTGTATTTTGTGATGCTGACTTTCTCAGCCACATTTGCAGAGCTCACACACAGTGTGTTTTCTGGGCTAGAGCCTGACTGGATAGAAGTTATATTCTTATTTGTGCAATTTGTAATTAAATTGTTGGATCCCATTCAAGAACTTTGGGATCCTGAGGATATCAACAGGATATTTGTGCTTCCTGTATGTTTATCTATCACTGAACTATGTAGTCATCAACAGATAAAGAAATAAAGTAGGCACAGTGACAATTTATTGCAAGGTTAATATGTGGCTGAAAAAGCACATTAATTGTCTATGTGAACTGGAAAAAAACGGTGTGTGTGTGGTGGGACAAATAACTGCTCATGCTGAAATGCAGAAATACACTGAATCACGCTGGAAATGCAACTTTTTTTTTTTTCCCTCTGATTTTACCATTAGGGCAACTGTCCCCTCTAGCCAAATAAAGGTAGATTCAGTGATATATTACTGTTTATAGTTCAGTAGCACCTAAATAATGTACCATTGTGCTATTTTATTGCAAACATGCTCGTGCAGAAATTTACTCCTGCCTGAAGAGTTCATAGTCCTGAAGAAAGATTATTTAATGCTCATATAAAAGGAGTGTGCAAGAGGTCTCTGCTCCTTGCAAACCCCTTCCTTCCCCCCGATGTGCGTGTTACTTTGGAAGAGCCTGTTTTGTGGGTACCTTAGCTTTCCAGTAGTATTTCACTTGATGTAAGGCAAAGTGGAAAAGTGCTTTTTTTTTTTTTCCTAGCCATTTCCCCTGTATACAATATCAACCTTTTTTCCTTTGGAAATAAATGGAAGTGCATAGATTGGATGTGAAAGACAAATAGAAACATTCCGCAGACACTGCAATGAGCTCACTTGCAAAGCCACAGTCAGAGCACAGCCCCTACCCGACAAACAGTGCTTGCAGCGAACACTGGTGTAGTTTATTGGATTAATGAGGCTCCCTGCATTTCTGTCTTGTTATAGAGCACTGCTAGAAGCTATAAGTAGTATGTAGTAATCTGAAGTTAAAATTATAAACATCTTGTTGTTAAAGAGTTTAAAAAAAAAAAAATCCCAGATGATCTATTTGAAAAGCCCCCAGGGCCCCAGGACAGATGTAGCAGTCCGTCGCTGTAAAACTCCTCACATTTAAATATTTCCAGTTGTTCGTAGAATTGTTCTATTTCCTCTTCCTCTTTAGTAACACAAATTGGAAAAGAGCTGGTAAGAGGGAGGTTTTGCAGCTATATTAGTGAAGCCAAAGTGTACCTGCACACAGCTTAGCTATTCCACTTTTACCCCTTGGCGAGAAACCGGTGAGAAGCAGCTGTGATTGGGATGGGCATTGAGAGAAATATAGTCTAAGTGCCTGAGGACACCTCGTCTATTGACATTCTTGTTAAAGCTTTTACACATGCAAAGGCCAATCATTAGCTTCTAGATCAGTCAGTTGCAAGAAGCTGGGCAGTGGAAATCCTGTGCTAAGAGATCTGTGTGACAGGGTTTCTTGTCTTTGGAAGAGCAGATCTTTAAGGTGAAAAGTTTGGGAGAAAGATATTAGTGGTTCACCTGCAGCAAACCCTGCTCTTTCTGGATTATACTTCCTATGGTGCCTGGAATCCACCATGAAGTTCAAGATTAAGTGGAGTAAGTCTTTTTACTGGCTTATCATGGCCAAAATTAAAAAAGAAAATCCTGTAACTTCAGGTGCCAGTGAGAGTGTGGACCAGCTTTTCAAAGGAACTGAACTCCTGTCTTTTTCCATTGACTAAAGAAGTTCTTGTAGGTGTTCATCCTGACCTCTGAAAATTGAGTCCCAAATACCTAAAATCAAAGATGAATCTGGAAAATGTGGTCAAGATAGTTGTCAAAAGTTTGTAATCAGTTTGTCTATGAGGCTTCAGCTACTAGAGAAAACAGAGAAAAGACACTTATCTGATGACTGTCTTGGAAAAGCTATTTATCTTAGCAGTATTTAAAGATCTGCATATGGCATGCATTCCCAACTCAGTTTTCCTTGATTTAACATCTTTATTTCTTAAAGAAAAGTGCCATTGGTAGTGCCTGCAAGGTAAGAGGTGAGAGAAAATCTGAAGCAATTTGATTGAAAAACTCATGGCCTTTTTGGATACTTTGGTGGGTTTATCAGGCTATAAACATCTGAATCAGGAGGTATCACTGGGAATAGGAGGGAACTGAAGTCTTCTGAGTTTTTCTTTCCCATGGAAGGAGAATATTGAAATGGATTTGAGCTCTGCAGCTGCCCAGGATGACTCAATGTGAGAAATGTCTTGCACTGGAATGAGCAGTCCCAGGCTGGAATTTCTGTAGAGATGTGTGGGTTATTGATTGAGAATTAAGGAACCCAGGATTGTCTAGCTCAGAAATGTACTTTCCTGGCCAGCGTCAAGCTCCAGATTGTTCTGTGATTCACAGTCTTTACAGCAAACCAGTTTTGTGTCTTTGCTAAAAATCAGTGAGTCTTCCTAAAATTAATCAATGTTGCTGCTTTATTAACAATATAGTTAAAAATTCAAGATAACAGGCTAATATTTTGACAGTAGCACTAATTCTCGCCATCTACAAGGAAAAATGTTGCATAAATAATTTCTGAGAAAAAAATAAATACATAATTAATTCTTTGAAACCATAGCTTCTTTCTCCAGATTCTAGTTCCAAATAAAATAATTGCAAAATTCAGCAACAATGGAAACTTCCTTAGTTTATATGATTCTACATAGAAAATAGAACATTGAGGTACCGTCTTCACATCAAATTATGTTAATCTGGTACTAGGCTTAGCATTTCTATAGTATATATACAGCATGTGAATATTCACTTTCCAATAATATTCTTTAATGTAAAAACACAAACACTAGTCTGAATGTTGAGAAGCTAAGTAAAGGAAAGTTGCTGTCAAACTAAACTGTGTGTACTAAAGACTTTTCAAGAGGAATTCATGGCTTTCAAATCAGCAAAGGCTCACTTTAATGCAGAACTGGCACTTTACTCCCAGAACTTGGCTTGCCCAGTCTTGGCACTAAAAAGTATATGGCCAGATTATCTAAACTCTGTGAAATATAAAATATAATCGGAGGTGTCTAAGTTGGTGCTAAAGTAAATCCTGTTTTGGGGAATAAAGTACAATCGGTAACTTTTACATAAAAATTCTGCATGTCATTAACTGTCTACAGGTCACATTCATTTCATAAATTTTCTTCACCAAGTTGAACTGTCCCTAAAACAAATCTGATGTTTCAAATGTCAAATGACAGTCTTGAATTGTCAATCCTGCATCATTCTAATTTAAGATATGAAATAGATTTATCACACTTTTGTTCTGAGAACATCTGTCATTTTTTTGCATGTTTTTCCTCAGCGAAATCAGTTGGGGCATATGGACATCTGACACGATCTTAATTTCCTAAAAACTTAACTTTATTCACCATAACTATTGAAATCTGTGCTCTCACTAACTTTATTCAGTTCATTCAGAGTGGTAACTCTCCTGATGGTTTCCAAATACGTCCTGCACTGTGGTGTCTAGAAAAGTTGGAAAGGAACGTTGTTGTTCCTGTCACATAAAGGGAGTAAAATGACTTCTAACAAAGCATGATAGAGATTGTCACAATAACACTTCTTCTTTCCTCTGCCTTCCTCAAAGTACAAGCCGCATGACCTCATGCAAATCTCCAAGGTGTACCTCCCTCAAACTGAATTTAAGAGTTGCTACCCCACAAGCTCAGTTTATCTCATTCTCTTATCAGACCATAACTGTTATAATCTGATAGATTTTGGTCTATATGAGCCTTTGATCCCGCTTAGCAAGAGGACTTGGAACCTCCTGCAGCCAGAACCCCGTTCTGTGGCCTGTGAGTGCCATTTGATGTCCTGTAAAATATCCCGAGCTGCTGGGCTGCATCTCTCACAGAGACAGTCTAATAAGCGTTCTCCAGCTCGGGCTGGTTGGATTTGCTGCTCCTGGCTCTGGAGAGACGGGGCTTCTTGTTCTTCTGAGGCCTGACGCTTTCCTTGCCGAAGTCCTTGAGCTCAGACTGGTTGTGGTAGCGAGTGTAGCGCTTGCACTTGCAGGCCGTGACAGCTCGGAATTTGTAAGTCCGAGTCTCTTGGTCGGGACAGGCCATCTGGATGCGCTGCGTGCGGGTGTGAGCGGGGATGCAGCGGTAATCCGGGGCATTCTGACGCCACCACTTCCCTCTGCCGATGGAGTTGGGCAGGAGGTGGGACGGGACGCACTGGCCTGAGCAGACCAGTTCCTTGACCGGCTTGACGCTGCGGCACGGCCCTTCCGTGACGTAGCGCGTGGTTCGCATTTCTCTGCAGCTGAAGTCAGAAGCATCTGCAAACAAGAAACACATTAATTAAGTACTTTCTTCCCCATCCTTGCAAAAGCTTTTTCATTTTGTTTTTGTAGCATATGTCTAGCTCTAAACTTGAATGACAGATGCTGGAAGGAGGATGTGCAGAGACCCATTCTTGTAGCCTGTGAGGTTTGGGGCATTCTAGTTATGAGAGCCTTGAATTGCCACATACAGATTGATTGACAAAATCTGTCTCTTGCCACTAGGTAAATCCCATGATGGAATTGTGCCAGTGGAACTTCTGACCAGCAGCCCCAACACTGGCAAGGGGCTTGGAGGGAATTCAGTTGTGGTTCTGCTGGTTTCATCTGCCTTGTTGGCAAAACTTCTCACCATTTACTCTGGTTGAATTCTGTTGCCTTCAGAGGTTGACTCCATATTTATGACTCTTTAGCAAGAAGGAACGTATCCCTGAAGTGATCTATAACTAGTATAACCTTTGTTCCAGGCAGGGGTATTAGCAGACTACAGCAGTGTTAAGGAATTCCCACTCTTCAGGCATTAGGCTTTCCAGATTTTATGCTCTCTGTGATAATCCCAGAAGTTCCTCTTTTTGAGGGGGACTAATCAATCACATCTCTTGACTAATTAGAAGCCTTAAGGCATTTCCACTCTCCCCACACCCTATTTCTTAATGGATAGCAATAAGCAAAGAGAATAGATGTTTGAAAACTCAAGGTTTTTAGCCTTAAGAATTTAGAAATTTGTTTCATTTGTAGGCATAGACCTTTTCCTTAAATAATGGATGTTTGGATGGATTTCTTTTCATGAGTTAGAAGAGGGCAACTACCAAAGGGGGGGGGTCTCTCTTTCGTCAAGCAAGATGTTCTGCTAATTGATGTATTTGGAAGACACAGAGATTCACTTTTCTTTGGGTGTTTATCAAAGAACTTCATCTAGATAAAGTCCTTCTCTTAGTCAAACGGATAACTTTAACTCAGGTTAACTTGTAATGGAAATCACTAAAGGTTAGTTTACAAAGAGAAGGCTGTGTCTCCTAGCCCTGTTACCTTTGCAAGGTGTTTCCCTCTTCTGTACATCCACAAAGAATTCTGACCTTGAGTCATTAGCAATGGAGCTATATTCATACATAGTTTTTCTTAAATAAATGTTTTTCCTCCTTCAAAAATATGCACATTTCAGGAGGACAGCTTCCCCCCCATCCTTTCTCCCCAGATGATGCCAGAAGTAGTTACAGGCTAGAAAGTCAAGGTATTCAGATGTGGTTACAAAATTAGCCTGTTTTGATCTAGTGGTTGGTGGAGATGCCTGTGAGAAGCAGAGAGCTCATTCTTACATATTTAAGAACCTTGTGACATGGTACACGCAGAAACATTATCTCATTTTGGTTTCTTTCTTTCTTTAAAAATACTGCTAATTCTATGGCTTTAAGCCCATGACAGCTGTGACAGGACACAATTCCCTTCTATTTTTCTACAGCAAAAGCAGTCTAGCTCAGATCTGCTATGTGCAATAGTGTGACCTGTAAGTTTGACTTGTTGCCACGTACATCTGGCAGGCAAACACATCGGTCTGAAACAGTGAGTTTGGCTTATTTACCAACAGAACTCCTTTCTTGGTGCTAACCCCCAACTCCCAACTCTCCCCATGACGTTCTGCATCATAGCTGATATCAGACATTTGTCTAAATACAGTGATATCATCTTAGGAAGTGTATCAGTAGGCTCAAAGTAGACAAACCGTTCCCATGAATCACACCTCTGCAGAACAGTGAGAGTCCCTTCCGATTCATTTGGGCATAAATTCACCTTGGAAGTGGTTTAAGTATTCCTAACGACTTTTTCTGGCTGCTGGAATCTGGCTGAAGATCAGGCTGCTGTTGGCAAAGGGATTAGCACAGTACTCTGGTCTAGCTCAGTGTAACCTCCAGGTGACTTTTTCATTGTGTGATCTTAAAGAGACAACTAGTATGATTCTTTCTTAATGTTTAAGAATTCTTATTAGCTCCAATCCCAAACCATTTTCTCACCCTAATTTCAAAGAGAGAAAGAAGACCCATGATACCTGGCAAAATGCTTGCAAGCACATTACACAGGGAAACTCAAACCATGGATTACTGCTGCTTGTCTTACATGTGTAAAAGCCAAGTTTTTCCACAGTCTTGGCGTTCTGCCTGCAGATAGCAGCTGGGCAGGACAGGAATGCATGCTGTAGTACCCAGGTATTGTTCAAGAGAGAACCCACACCTTTTAGCAGCCAAGTCTGGCACGTCCCTCATGATGTTTGCGTGGATACTTCTTCAACAGCAGGTATAAATCCCTACCACTTACAGAATTAGGCCCACACCAAAAGGTTTTAATAAATACCCATAGATGATGATAAGTATCCTCTCATAAACTGCCTATTAGCATTTAAAGCAGTAACAGAATGCTATTTTTCTTACCATTAGGGTCTGGAGACTGTTGTATGTGTCTTCCCCCATGCTTTGCCTGGTTCATTGTGTTGTTGTCGCTGTAAGTCTGTTCCATCGGTGCTTCTGTATTTTCAGTCATCTCAGGAATTATTTCTGTAGCATCATTTTTAAACATTTGCCACCCTTCTACTGACTGAAATGCAATTTGGATGAAGACACAGACAGAGCACACAGCCCAAGAGATCTGCATGGTGGCAGCCCACGGATCAGCTTTCCAGCACCCTTGCAGCCTCAGATCCCAGGCAAAGGCAAATTATTGTCCTTTTTAAAATCCTTTTTAGAACCAAACCAGCCAATGGCTATACAAAGTGGGAAGGGCCAGACAAGTCATTCATCTAAGCTCTTGTCAGTATGAGTCAGAAATTAAATGGGTATGTGGGGGTGGTTTAGCAAAAAATATTATGTGCACTTAAAAACTTTTCATATGCTTCATTTTTTTTTTCTGCCTGGCAACAATGGTGATTGACAAGACTAGGATGAGCTGCAGCCTAACAAGTCTTTCTGCAAATTTTTCTAATAATGTTATAATTAAAATCTGCTTCTACTTCCATATTTGAAATGCTGTTTATTGTTTTTTCAAGAGTTTTCAAATTAATTTGAGAGGACTAGTTTTCTTATGTTTTGGTGTGTTTTTTTTTTTCCAAGTATAAAGAAAGCACAATTAGAAATTGTTTCTCAGTAGCTTTGCATTTCTGTTTCTGCAGATAAATTACTGTGGTTTCTTATTTTTATTTTTCTTTACAAAACACGGATCTCTGTATTTTGTCTCATAAAAAGACTAGAAGAAACAAGAAAGTTGTTTTATTTAGATTTAGAGCCAACCTATTCCTAGGATATCTATGCCCAAGGTGTGTTAATGTGTCATTTTTTTTTAAACTGATCTATGGTATTCTTCTTTTCCTTTGGAGAAATAAGATGATAGTGGGGACAGTTGCACAAATTCCTATGCCTCACGACCATGAATATTCCACATTATTTGCCAACAATATCAGGTTAGATACATTAATCAGAGTCTCTCACCTTTTAGGTAGATTAGAAACTGAGCTCATCATAGCTACTGCTTAAAGGAGTAAAGAGGTGCATGTAACTGCAATACTTGTCACAGAGACTTCATCCCTCTGAAAATATTTCACGCAGAACAGATGCTAAGTGAAACACTGAACTCCAGCATTTTTTAACAATTAGCTGGAATGTCAATAACAGCCTCTGCGTCCTGCCCTCTGGTCTACCTGTCTGAACACTGCAAACAGCTGGGGCCGTCTGTCTTCTCCCTCCTGCTGCAGGACTCGTTGCGGAAGCCTCACATTCCTCCCTGGAAACTGCCTTGACCTGCCATGGAAAACAGGTGTCACCGAATTTAGGGAGAGGACCGTGTTCACCCTTGGTGTGACCCAGATGAAAAATAATACAAATGGCCATAAACAACGGCAATGGTTGACACGTGTAGCAGACGCAACCGGTTCAATTAGCTTCACAACTCGCACACTGCCCAGAAATTGTCTTTGACAAAGAGCCAGAAGAACTTTCCTGCTCTCAAACAGTTCTGTTCCTGAGGTGCTGCTAAGCCAGCTTTGCCCAAGTCACTTTTATCTTTCTCATGAGAATTCAGCTGAACCATGTGCTGTCTTCTGAATACACCAAACTGAAAGCTATGTTGCGAACTCCTCTAAGAAGTCAAGAAGAAATTTAAGCTTAGTTTTCTCCCCCCAGAGATGAGCAAATGTATTGATAACTCATTCCGATGACTTACCTTTCTTTCTCCTTTTTTTTTTTTTTTTGATGATAAGAAAAATACATTAGAATCATACAACTACATCATTTGGAGATGAAATTATGACTATCTAGTGAAGAATGACAAGCAAATAGCTCCATCTGGTGGGAGCCAGCTAGCCGGCTCCCTTGAGGTGCTGGAATTAAAATACAAAGCTTTATTTCAACTACTCGTGCACATCTGAGTTTATAGGGTTTATTTCCAAAACAGAACAAACAGATTGTCCAAAGGGTAAAAACTAGAGTCAGTTATTGCTCATTCAAAAGTTATAAACAGAAATTCTTATTTCCTCACAAATAAAGCTGCATTTAAATTCACGATGCCTATATCACATTACTTGCTGTATTTGACAAAAAAAACCCTCTGTTGTGGCACTTAGAACAGGACATAATGTCTCCATAAGGAAGTTGCTCGGACATCAGCTTCACTTTTGGTTTTGCAATCGCACAAGATTTTAGCTGGACATCCTGTATTGCCTTAGCTGTATTATATACCTGTGCTGATGAATGATTAACGGTGGTGAGATTTGATTTCGCTAACATTTGTATTAAAGACATTAGTTCTAAAATATTAGGTAAATATTCACTCCATTAGCTTGGTTCAGGAACCTGTCTGCAGAGCATAAACCAAAATATGGCACAATGCACAGCTATCAAAATCCACTGATTACTGAAGAATGATCGGAAAGGCTGGGAAAATATAAGGGAAGGTCTGAGGGTATGAGATGGTACAAGCAAGAGTTAGGAACAGCAGCTCTTATTTCCACAGGTAACATACATTATCTTACGCTGAAGAAAGTATAGTAACATATACCATGAATAATCAGCTAGTCAACATCATGCTAACCTTCCTACTACGATCTTTGTTGCTGTTTCTGCAGATATTTTCTGGTTTATTATCTATCAGAGAGTGTGTTTTACAAGCAAGAGTAGACGTTCAGCTTCAGGAATACCAGAAGTATATATTAGAAAAAGAAGAGGGATTGTGAAAGGCCTAGGAACTACTATAGTTAACTATTACAGTAATATAGAACTGTTACAGTATTATAGTAACTGTGAATGTTAAGAAAAAAAAAATCTGTAGAATGTTAGTGCAGACTGTTTCTATCTCTAAGGCTAAATAATTTGATCATTATGCAGTTTATGAATTGCATTTCTGAATAATATTTTCAGTGAGGTATTATAGACTTGCAACTCCCATTTTTCATAGAAAAACTACCCAAAACAGAATCAAATCCCTGGTTTGCAATTGCTCTCCTGGATTCAGAGCTGCAATGTCATACACAGTATGAATTATCTAACATGGAATAAGGATACAAACTCTCACTAACAAATCCTTGGAAGCTGCCTCTGAGGGCTGTTCTATTTTCAGTTTAGTTATTGGCAGAGCCCAGAAAGTAATTTTAGAAGAAACTTCTGTGCTATATTGAGTGAGACTCCATTAGGTAGTCGGGCTTAATTTTAATTTTTAGAGTCTTCTGTTTCCCTGTGCTTGTATAATGGGTGACATTTGGTTCAGCATGAGATACAAAGTCCATTTTTTATATATATATATGATTGTTTTAGAGAGATTATTATTTTACCCGACTTTCTTCTTTACTCCTTGTTATAAAATGCCATCTTTCCTACCCCTCCATGGATTTCACAGGGTGGATATCCTTGTTCTTATTCCTCCTCCAAAGCTCTATCTATACAAAAAATACCATGCTGGTATTTAGGATAAACATATTAATATAAATCCAGACCACACTAGCTTTAATATAAAGGCTTAAACACCAAAAAATGCTATGTTTCTGCTTGCATATTTGTTTTAAAAAATGTATTTCCCCAACTAGCATGCTTGTAAGGAACACTCCATTGCAACAGGCAGCTTCGTGGTAATTTCAGAACAAAAAGACGTCTTCTGACATTCCGCCAATGTCACATTATAATGGTAGAAAGGTCTCACTCCTCTTTTTAAACAATCTTGCCTACCATGGTAAGAAAGAGACTCAGATGCAAATAGCATATGATTATGAATTAGAGTAATATAAGCTCTTCTTGGTCCACTAAAATAGGCAGGATCATTTGCAACATTCTAATACTTAGACAAAAAAGAGGCTGTGTACAATCCATTAACGGGCAGCGGTGTGAGACATCCCAACTATTTTTAGCCTGTTCTAAAGGCAAAGCTAGAAATGGCTTAGAGTCACCTATCAGTAACTCAGACTAGGATATGCTGTGTCAGAGCTCAGTTTAATTAATTTATGAGTGTCTTATTCCTTTCCCCTTCATATTACAACACATTGGTTAATTAAGCCTTGTTGTATTGAGATAAATTGGTCAGTGTATCACTGAAGTTACCATTAGAGTCGAGCAGTGTGCTATGCATTGAAAGAGCACCTTGAACACATCAACATTTTCTTGTATTTCTAGATTTGTCGGTATTTTTAGACAGTTCATTGTCGACCGGCAGAACTACACAAAAACATCACCATTTTAACATATTTTATCTCATGCTAAAAAAATTTGTTTTTTAATCTGACAACTACTGGCATTTTTATACTTTTTGAGATAATAACAAAAATCCAACACCAAATAGTTTGTGGAGTCATTTATTGGACTGGAATTCTAATGATAAGGAACAAATCACAAATCAAAGACAGAGTGTTTGCATATGCACCTTTACTTTTTTTTTCACTTTTTCCCTTAAGTATAGATAGGTGTTATGAATATATGTTGCAGGTAGAGAGAAAAAAAATCTATGCCCATAGTAAAAATTTAAAAAGCATTGTGCTGTTGTAGTATTATAGTACTATAGAAAAAAGAAGGCCAGTATTCCTACTCTCCACACAGCAGAATGAGAAAAACAAAACCAAAAAACAGAGTACTGTCTTCAACAGGAATATCTCTGAGTTTAATTTCAGTAAAGTTATCTGATTAAATTGAAAACAAAACAAAACAGAAAAGAACAACTAGAAGCATATCCTTTGTGATAAATGAACCGAATATACAAAACTGTGGAAACGGTGTTATATGCATTATTAACACATAAGCATTCCTTATTAAACAGTGTTTAATTTAAAATCTGTATCTACATTAAAGCAGACATAAAAACTGAGTATAAACATCTGAGGATCCTATTAGTTAAACTAATATCTCTTGAGTTTTCTGCGGGAGGCTCTTTGTATTAGCACAGTGCTACGCTAACTCAGTCACACGTATACACACTAAGTCAAGCATAGATTTACAAAGCTTCCTCTCCCAGCAATGTATTGATCATTTCATCTGCATGTCAGACATAACCATGACTTCATTTATTTTATCAGAAAGGTAGTGTTTGATAGTCCATATTCTCATTACTAGGTAACAGAACTGTGCAAGCAACCCAACAAGTCAGAGTGTACTTCTACAAACTGCTCTGTAAGCACCTATGTACTGTCCTACTGGAAGTAATCTATATATGTGCTCATTCAGGTCAAGCTTTCATGTTTAATGAACAGTGAGAGTGAAAGGAGGCACTATAATCCAGTACAAACCTCAGAAGCCATTCTGTTCTGTTACTTATGACGTTACCTTAAACCTAGTATAAGTATTACACACATTCTTTCTTCCTTGCTGAAGTTTCTTCTTCAACATCTGCTCTTGACATTTTTTTCTTGTGATTTTAAAAATAAAAATAATACAGTTAATATCGGACTACTTAATGTCAACCACAAGAGCAAAAGATACAAATCTCTTTGGAAATTCAGTGTTATAGCAAGATGGGGCTCTGAATGTCTTCTCTACAACCCTTGAACCCTCTGTGTGTTACATATACCCACACTAAGCACAAAGTTGTATGCACATCGCTTCACATGAGAGTGCATCTGTGCATTTGCATATATATATATTTCTCCATTCCACGAAGCTCCTGCATTCAGATTTTTAGGCACCTGTGCGTGGGGGAGAGAAACTTTAGAAAATACAGTACTTCAACTAAGAGTGGGAGAAGAGAGATGTGCTGGAGCTCTCATAATACCGTGTTCTGGTGGGATACAACACAAAGCTTAAATAAATCACCCTCAAGGTCAATGTATAACATATTCATGATAAGGTCTGCAGGGGGCTCTGAAATGCATGTAAAAACAGCTATTATCATCAGAGTTACCCCTCCAAAGACACTTCTTCATTGCAACAGCTCTAAGAAGTGGGAGATTTTTGTGCCATTTTAAAACACCAGAGTTTGCAAAAGACACTTTTACTAGACGAAAGCAGGAATTCTGTCTCCCTCACGTTATGTGACCTAGCTTGGTAGCTGGGGTTTGGGTATCTAAAGCACCTAACACGCATCCTTTGACAGTTTGGGAAACTTCCCAGAAGACGACAGTGCTGCTCAGGGCTGGAGCTTGCCCTCCTTCACCAGCCGCTCGTTGAGCTGGCAAAGCTGCCTCAAAAACCCATCGTTGGGGCCGATCTCCCTCTTCTCCCGCACAGCGACCAACGCGGACTTGACATCCATGTTGTGCCGGAGCATGAGGTAGGCGATGACCAGCGTGGGAGAGCGGCTGTAGCCCTCACGGCAGTGCACGAACACTCGGCCTGCAGGAAGACAGGGCACAACCGGGGTTAGCCAGAGCCCCGCACAAAACAGCAACACCAACTAGGGACAACATAGAAGGTAAAATTAGTCCTCCAGCAGCCTGGGACTCTGAAATCTGAATGTTAGCGAAGACACGAAACTTGGAAGCAAGGTGCTATCTCTGTTCACTGCACAATCTGCCACCAAGAAAAATGCAGGAATAAAAAAAAAAGTTATTGAATTTTTAAAAACATTCACACTAAAAAGTGTTTGCTGCAATACTGCAAAAATTCAAACTACTTTTAGTACACTTTTGTGTTTTGAAATAAGCCTTGCCCCTGAAGATGACCACTACCAGCAATCAAAAATAAATGGCACACATTTTAAAGTACACTGACCTCACAACAAAGAGTGCAGAGGAATATGCTGGCTGCTATTTATCTCTTCAAAGATATTCAGCCTTTACACTGCACGGCTGGTAGTTCCTATGCTAGCTCTGCACATAAGCACTTAAGTAAACGAAAATGATGACTAAGCAACGAGGAAAGGGGGCATTTAATCACGCTCAAGTCAGCAGCAACAAAATGCTTCCAACTAACTGATTGAGGAACCATTCCACATATTTGTTGGGGTATCCAACAACAATAAAACTGGCTATTTCTCCCTCAAAGAAATCTGAGTCAAATTGATTCCTTCTCAGCTATGTCCTCTTTGACCTGCTTTTCCAGACATAAAAATGTTCTCAAATGCAGCAGGAGATGTGGCCCCAGGCTAGTCTCCAGAGTAAATTATTTTCTGAGGCAAGAGAACAGATGAACTATACACATACATTTTCATGATATCCACAGTTTGCTCTGAACCACACCGGCAGAAAGCCCGTTGTCACACTTGCCTTGATCTGCAGTCTTGATTAGAAGCAAGTTAAACAACAACAACAACAAAAATCATTCTTAACATTTCAAGAGACCCCACAGCCATAAATTAACAGGATATGTGGAAGTAAGCAAATATGTGAAAAAAAATTCACTTCCCCTCTGCAAATGTTCTGAAGCAAAAGGGTTTCTAGCCTTCCTCCATGAGAAGCAGAAGCCTTTAGTAAAACAAATCTGCCTTTATTTAGCTGTTTGTCAGAATTTCATGCAACTACAATGCTAAACAGAACTGCAGGAGATACTGCTGCACTCCTTTTAATTGTCCTTGCTCAACCTTCGGTAATTAACAAAGACTATCAAATTTCAGCAGTGAGCTAATCTGAGAACTGCCTTCAGCCTGAGAAGCTGCAATGTTCCTCTTTGGTAAGAGAACAGTGGCAGGCCAGGTGGACAGCTCCAAAAACTGAGAGAATCCTGCCAGAAAGAATTGTTACAGCAAATTCAGAGTAATTCCTGACAGCTCAGCTCACCATGGGGTATTATCAGCCAAACATAGCTGGGATGGTCACAGCACAGCTGGCACTGTTAAACATCTCCTCCTACCTCTTTCAGGCAGTCACAAAGCTAACTGGAAGAGCTGCATTTTAATTTTTAGCTTTTTCACACTGTTCCATGTTTGAGGTGTAACTTCTTTCCATTATGAAAAGAAAAACACAGCTCTAGTCCACCTTTTTGTCCATTTCAGAGAAATTCAGTTCTCTTTCCTCCTCTTTGACGTTCAGCCATGAAGCAAGAAATAAATTAAACATACGCAGAAGTGGCATTCTTAGCCACTTATGCACTGAAGCACCATCTGGCCCATTGCACTATGTCCTAGGAACTGTGCTCTGAAGAAACACATTGTAGACAAATGTGGCAATCAGCAGCATTGCAAATATGATCTCCAGCTGTCCTGCAAGCCTACGGAATAGCGAGGTAATTGTCATTAAAAAAAAATAAATAAAAAGCTTAACAACTCAATGCAATGAAAAAAAACATAGGGCCACAGTCTCTAACTTTTCCTACACTTGGAGACAATTAGGAAAAAAAAACATAGCATGTTGTGTGGTTATTTTTCATGTATGCATTATCTACATTATCTATATTAACCCTTCCTCTAATTTATTATTTCCAGTGCTCTAAAACAATTTTTAGACCCTACATTTGTTTTCTTGATTTTTCACGTGACTCACTCATCTAAAGAAAAATAAGGACATATACTCCTAAAAAGGCACTGTTTTAGGATGCAGTAGCTATTTCGCTTTCCAGAGTTATTCCTACAATGACAAACTTCCATTTACTATATAGTAGAGACAAGCATTTATAGGTTGTAAATCAAGATGCTTTACTGCATATTCAGGCATCTTTGATCCTTAGTCTTGATCTGAATTCCTGACTTGGTTGTTCAGCCAAAAATCTGAACGAAGAACATTGTAAACAGTGAAGTATATGACTAAGAAAGGTATGTAGTGCATCAAAATCGAGATAGAGAGTTTGTCTTACCATCCTTCTGTGAAAGTGCTTTCTCAATAAAATCAGCTGCCTCCTCGAAATAGCGACTGAGGTTAAATTCTTGCGTATCGTTAGCTTTAATGCCAAGGTATCTGATGCCGGTGCCGTCGTAGAACTCAGCGTTCGTGTTCACGTGCATGAACGACTTCCCCTCTGCCGCGTTCAGAACGTGGGTTATCCCCAGGTGCTGCAGCTTCGTAATGTTCTTGGCTATGAACCTGCATGGCAAAAAGTGTCGAGAAAACAATTAGGTCTGGGTAAGTCATTTCAGTATTTATGGGGTTCCCAGAGGCTATTGATAACTAAAACCTTTGATTTTCCTGTGTACTGTGTTCATAACTAGATTAGCTACACATTATATACTCACAGAAATATTTATAAACATGACGGTCACTACTTGTCTATTGAAGTGCCACTTTCTTGGGTGAAAACTGAGCAGACAACACTTGAAACGTAACCTGTTAGCCTCTACAGGTGCATAAGTTTATACCTCTTTCTGAGCACACAGCTGCTAACCAAAGCAAGAAAACACTGGAGATACCAGAGGGTCTAGGATAGTCACTCTTGATGATTAACCATTATCTACATAAACTAATTCATGAAGCAAATGAACCAAATTCAACCTAATTTAGCCAAATTTAACCTAATTTATTTTTAAAGCCTAATTTAAAAGCCTGTATGGCGTTTCACGGCTAGGAAAGCAGTACTTGCAACTCTAGTAGACAATACGGTCAGAAAGACATTTTATCTGAACTTAGGCTTTCTTCACAGTATCCAAGATGGACAGTTTGATAGTCTGTCTCTCCTCAAAAAAAAGAAATTGCATATGGGAAGCAATTGAAAAAAATGTGAAAGAGTGCGGGTTCCTTCTCACAGTAACACAGAACGTAACTATCAGTAATCATTCCTGCATCTTCAGAAGTCTCATCTGAGGAGTCCTGCAAGGTGAAGTCCTCCATCCCTGTCTTATTCAACATCCCTGAAGCCAAAGATCTGGCAAAAGTATCCAAAGACCAGCAATATAGAAACATAATTCAGTCTTTGTCATTTTAGTTCTCATTAAAAGTGTCTCTACAATGATTACTGACCTTGTAGAAATCAATATATGAATGGAGAAAAATTTTGTTTTTAAAGGCAGTTTTCACTATATATCAAACTGAATTTGGAAACAGAAATCTTTTAGAAAACCTCCATAAAGCTCAAGCCCCAAATTGCAAATACAAGGAATATTAACATTCCTTGAGCTCCAGAGAAGCATCTGTATAGCATCCTTCTGCAGAAGTTTATAAGAGATTTTAAGATACCTAAGGGTCTTGGTTGCACATTTGGCTATTCCAAAAACAAACAAACAAAAAATGTCCAAAATAGTTAGGTTATATATACATGCATCTCTGAGTCCTGTGCATTGACTCACAATTTTCATGTAATTCATTATGTGAACATACAGAGTATTCCTTTTCTCCTAATGACTATTCACCCCTTAAACTGTACTGTAAGCAGACGAATTCTTAGGCAAGAGTGAAGCTTCTGCACTTTCTGCTGCCTGTGCCCAGCAACTATGGCACTGCAGCAAATATTTGTGAAGACTTCAATATCCAAACAAGTGTTGACAGATTTTCCATCTGGCAGGACATCATCTGTGCCAAGGGACAAGCTTCAGTGCCAGGGGAATCCTGCTTGCAGCAGAAAAGTAAATCCTACAGAGCCAGGCCAAGGGAAGAAGCGTTAATTCAGCAGCGAGTTCCCATGCCTAGTGTGGTAAAAGCAGAGTAAGAACAGAGCTGATTTTGGCTGGAATCAACAGGAACTCGTGCCCTGGAACCACGGCCACATCTGGTCACAGGCTGGCTCAGTTGGAGGCAAACTCCCCCTCAGTGAAGGATTTCCACAGATTTTTAGGTGATTTTCTCCACTCAACTACAGCTGAAAATTCTCTATCCCATTTTCTCCCATTCCAAACAGCCCTAGGATCTCCCCTGTCCTTAATATTTCAGTTCAACTGCATCATGTTCAAATGGTTCAATTCCTCTGAGTAGTGAAGCTGCCATTAGCTCCTTCTGTTTCCATTAAAAAGAAAACTTCCCTTATAGACCTCAAATGTAATTTTAATTTCAGAATTCATATTTATCACGTGAATTTCTAGCATGTTAAGAACAAAGACTTGCTTCATGGGTTACCCGCACATATTCAAGCAACCACAAAACTCAGCTTGGGCATTCGTAACTAGAACCCTTTTAGCAAAAATAGTTCTGGGTGTGTGGCTTGATTTATTACAGGCATCCAATAGCCTGTGAAAACACAATGCAACTCCTTACCCAGGAGCTCAGAAGGCTAAACTGTTCCTAAGCGCAAGATGCGCTTGCTTTCTTGAAAAAAATAAAATAAAATAAAATAAAATAAAATAAAATAAAATAAAATAAAATAAACAAGGTTTTGACAAGAGGTTTTTGTGAAGATGCATGCTGTCGCACTGTCCTGGTGATTGATTAGTATTATAAATTACCCTAACGTGTTATTGCTTGAAAAAGAGATAACCATGCTAATCTGTCACGTACTTAATAATAACTGTTTTGACTCTTGTCTTCAGGAACATGGTACTCTGAGAGAGATTATAATTAGCTATGTTAATAAACAAAAATGTTCATTTTGAAATATTTTATCATTTTACCTCTGTTTTCATTAGTTATTCTCTTCATGTATTGTACAGAGCTACTTTGGCTCTGCCTGTTACTTGAACTTAACTCCATCCACCTGTATGTCACAGCAGTTTCACCTTTATCTGAGGAGAAACAGAAGCACCTCAATGCAAAATACTTCAAAGATTTTAAACAGAGATTTCTGAATAGCATTCAGACACTTTCATTTCTTTCTGCATTAGCCTGTTCAAATCCCTTTTATGCTCTTATGTCAGGTATTGGGATTCCAAAGTCTCCAAGTTAAAACTCTGTATAGATATCTGTATACTCTATGACTGCCATTTGTAGTCTTCATAGTAGTAAATTTAGCCTTATATTGCAGAAATGGTTTGATGCATCCAAGTCAAAGCAGAGAGCCGAATGTCAGAGCAGCTATCAGATCCCCTTGCTCTCGTGCTGCTCTGCTGCCCGTGCTCCTGGCAGCTCCTCAGATATTCAGTAAGACGATCTGTGCAACAAAGGCCAAAGCCAAAATATGTATGCCTTAAACCACCTCTTCATCACAGTTTTTGTTAATTTGTTATTTAGCACAAATGAGCAATATCCCTGTTGTGGCTATTCCCGTCCTCCTTGCTGCAGCGCCTTCCCCTCTCCTCACATATGCAATGATACATGTCGCGAGGGGACTTTGGCGGATGGTATTTTACGCAACCTCCCAGCGTCCCGTCCCTGCTCCCTTTCTGCACAGGCAACCAACGCTGCTGACCACCGCTAACTAGCGGGGGTACAAACAGCCCGTGGGGGAAACGCGAAACCAAAGAGGCCGGTGCGGATGCAGGGGGATGTGTTCCATGCTCAATATGCAATGATACATGTCGCGAGGGGACTTTGGCGGATGGTATTTTACGCAACCTCCCAGCGTCCCGTCCCTGCTCCCTTTCTGCACAGGCAACCAACGCTGCTGACCACCGCTAACTAGCGGGGGTACAAACAGCCCGTGGGGGAAACGCGAAACCAAAGAGGCCGGTGCGGATGCAGGGGGATGTGTTCCATGCTCAGCCCGGAGCCTGGGTTACCCTGTCCCGATCTCGGCTCCGCTCTGCGTTAGCGAAGGGCCCTCGCGCGGGCAGCGAACGCC